ACAGGCGCCTGCCACAACGCTCGGCTATTTTTTGGTCGCAGCCGTCATTGTTGTTTGGCAGACCTGGGCTGGATTTGAACCCGCCACCTTAGATGTATGTGGCTGGCGCCTTAGCCAATTGAGCCACAGGGGCGGAGCCATCTCTCATGTGTTTCTAACCAAAAAAAATGCCTCAACATGGAGCGGATATCACTTCCATGGTTAGATACAAGAGACATTACCTCTGTTTTGCTGGCCAACTCACTCTCCTGCTAGCTTTGACAAAGTAAATTCCTATTCTCTGAGGTACCCCTTAGAAAAGCACACTGCAGTGGTTGAGGGCACCTCTGCCTGACAGCCAGCAAGGAATAGGGGCCCTCCATTCAACAGGCTGCAGAGAACTGAATCCTGTCAGCAACCACAGAATCCCAGAGCAGATCCTTCCCCAGTCCCATGTTCAGAAGAGTCCTCCATCCTGCCGAATCCTTCCTTAATTGTGCCCTCACGAGAGACACTGAAGTTGGGGACCAGCTGAGCCCACCTTGGACTCCTGACTCACAAAACCTGAAAGAGAATGAATCTGTGTTTTTTTCTGGCCACTAAGCCTGAGGCAATTTGTTACACAGGAATAGATAATACAGTGTCCTTATTTGGATCCTAGGAAAACCATTAGAGGAAAAACTGGCAAAATCCAAATAAAGACCAGACACAGTGGTTCACGTCTATAATCCCAGCACTTTGGGAGGCCAAGGCAGGTGGATTGCCTCAACTCACAGGTTCCAGACCAGCCTGAGCCAGAGGGAAACCTCATCTCTATAAATAGCCAGAGAAGACTGAGGCAAGATAATTGCTTGAGCCCAAGAGTTTGAGGTTGCTGTGAGCTGTGATGCCATGGCACCCTACCAAGGGCAACAAAGTGAGACTCTGCCTCATAAATAAATAAATAAATAAGCCCCTGTAGTCCCAGGTACTTAGGAGACTGAGGCAAAAGAGTCACTTAAACCCAAAGAATTTGAGGTTGCTGTGAGCTGTGATACCACAACACTCTACTAAGGGTGACAAGGTGTGACACCACACAACACTCTAGTAAGGGTGACAAGGTGAGACTCTGTCTCAAAAATAAATAAATAAAAATAGCTAGGCATTGTAGTGGGCACCTATATTCCCAGCTACATAGGAGACTGAGGTAAGAGAATAGCTTAAGGCTCGGCACCTATAGCTCAAGCAGCTAAGGCGCCAGCCACATACACTGGAGCTGGTGGGTTTGAATCCAGCCTGGACTCGCCAACAATGACAACTATAACCAAAAAATAGCCAGGCGTTTTGGCAGGCGCCTGTAGTCCCAGCTACTTGGGAGGCTGAGGCAAGAGGATCATTTAAGCCCAAGAGTTGGAGGTTGCT